TATAAAGACCAGCCGACTCATGTCCTCTACCAATAGTCTGCTTCGTTAACAGATCCTGAAACACACAATATCCAGGAAAAAATGTGATAGAACAATTAAGAGTACATGTGATTTTACTGATGAAAAGCAAATTAAATGCAAAATTAGGAAGACTCAAAACAGACGATAATTGTAATGTAGAAGTTGGTACAACAGTACCATATCCAAGAACGGGTGAGGTAGACCCGTCAGCTAAAGTGACACTGGAAGTAGGTAAATATGAGTGAAATGATGAGAATAGACTAGGATTACCAGTCATATGATCTGTGACACCTGAGTCAATGACCCATTTCGAGGATGATGAAATAAGACATGTGTTTAAAATACCTGAATTTGCGACTAACGAGGTAGGGACAAAGGAATGCTTTAGAGATTCTTGGTAGCAAATAAATTTAGCATACTCGTCTGAAGAAATAGCAATTGATCCATCAGATGAACTGCTAGCGGAAGCAACATGAGCAAGCTGATTTCCTTGATTTTTGAACAACAACTTTCGACATGATCAAGTGCCCGGGCTTCTTACAGTAATTGCATATTACTCCTCTGTCAAATTTACCCGTACAAGACATAATTCCTCTTTTTTTTTCATTTTTTTCTTTTTTTATAGGAGTCAGCAATTAGGTTAAAAAAAGATATATTTAATACATAAACTCACATCAGCTTTCCCGTTTTCCCGTTTTGTAGACTCAAAAGCTGGAGAATAAAATACTCTAATTTGTTTGGCTCATGCGTTGATTGCTACGGACTCCAAACACAACAAAAGCATACCCCAGCACGCAAGACCGAGCAGATGCGAAGAATCATGCGGCCACAGATAATGTCCGATGTCAGAACCCAGCGACCAACCACAAGATTTCCACCCAAAGATATCCGTTCCTGGAGAAAGAATGAGGAAGAAGTAAATGATACCTGGTGGTGGAGGACTTGTCAGGCGAATCTGTGGAAAAATTTCGATCAAATCTCCGGCCAGAGAAGGTGTGTCACGCGCGGGAGACTGCGAATACTTCCAGAGGACGTGTGGCTGACGGGCGTAGAATTGGAGCTGCGTACTTTCAACACCTGGTCAGAAACGGCAGAAATGGTGTAGTCGGAATTTCGCCGGAAAATGGTTGAACCTGGCAAAGATGGATGTAGTTTGCTTGATACCTAGATTCTGAATTTGCTTGAAATCCAATCTAAAAGCCCGTGTAAACTGGACCTATAACTGATTTTGAAAAGGGTTGCCGGGCTTCTGAGATCGGAGGTTCTGGGAAAAGTTCCGGGAAGAGTCTCGGAAGAGGTTCCGGGAAGAGTTCTGGGAAGAGGTTTCGGGAAGATTCTTGATTGAAATCAATTTCTTGGAGAAAGAACACAGTGAAAACTAAACAGATATGACAAACTAAACTGAAATCTGAAAAGAAAAACTTAACTAAAATGGAAAGCTCTGATACCATGTTGAAATATAAACTAGAATAATATTGAAGAGTGGAGGAAAGATTTTCTGTGTTTTTCATTGGAGGGTTAAGGTTCTATATATATTACAAAGATGGAATATTCCTATATAAGATGCTATACAATAATAATGTCAAGAGTATATTCCTAAAGCGTATTCTATATTCCTAAAGCATATTCTTAGATACAAAAATACTTTCACACTATTCATCTTTGTGCCTCTTCCTTCCCGGTACTTCAATGTTTCACTGTTTGCTGGACAAGGAGCTTCCGTACTTGAATCTTCCTCCTCACTTCTTGTAGCAAAAGCCTCCATACTTCCCTATCGTATCTCCCCCTATCTTCAGAGCATCAGTACCACTTGGGTGGCTTTGTTCACGTTGAACTGAGTTTTACCAATCACCAACTGCTCAATATTCCGGTTGCTAACAACTCTTGCCTCATGATATAACCCAAGCTCTTGAGATTCAGATGATCCACTCCTTGAAATTGTAGTATCTAACATGAAGTGTTCCCTGGGACCGATAATAAGAACAGCAGGAACATCAATTAACTGATCAACAACAATGGTTAATTGATCAACAACAATGGCAGAATCAATTTCAGAGTTATTAAAGGAAGCTTTCCAATAGGAATCCTGTGACCTAGAATTGATATGTGCAAACAATGACATGAATGGTGTGAAACCTACTGTTGTTTCGAGTATGGATAAAAAATGGCATAACGAAACTCTGCAAGATACTCTTTGTCATTTGGGCCGCAAGACTTACAAACACCATCATCTTTAGTCAAACGGTTGAAAGAGCCTCTTAGTAGGGTACGCATAGAAACTGGATTTCCATTATAAGTCACCCACCTAGGACCAACAACAAGAGGTCCAATGTAGACTACACCCGATGTATCATATCTCCTGTCATCTGTAGGCATAGCCTTAATCCCTTTACCAGCAATAGCCATCTGAAACCGATAGTCACAAACTACACCCCGTGTGTCGAACAAGTATACAGACTACTGGCATTCCGCTAACATTTCCCATATTATTTCCCCTAACATTTCCCATATCATTCCCGGTAAATCCTACTCCCAACCCATTTTCTGATATTTTTCATAAAATTCACACCATCAATTTTCAAACCTTCAAACTGATTCAGCCCTTCCAAAATTCCCTATGATGAATGATGGTGCACAATATCCATTAGGACACCCAACTCCAGTTCCTGAACTTTTTTTTTAAGTTGCGAGTACATGAGATTAAAGGACAAGAAAAGTGAAAGAAAAATGAAAAAGTACATCAACAATTAAAATTCTTTGATGGGATCCCAATTGCAACAGATATTGCTCTGTTATATTTGTTATGAAACCTGATGGCATTCTTTAAATATGGCCTGAAAGTTTTTTCCTCCAGACGAGATAACCTGAAACGCTGCAGAGCTGCCGCTAGTTTATGCGGTGAGTCAAACCTTTCGTCAACTGGGTATAGAAAATAGTCTGTTTCGTTTTGAGGTTTTTTTGAATGGCTTCTGGTGATCATGGGATGTGATGTATAGCCCACCTCATAGTATTGGTGTACCTCTTCTGTAGCTTCATTAGGTTGGGTTTTTGAGATCGTGGTTTTGCTACTTCTTCTTTTAAGAAGTGTAAATCCTTCAAGGTTTCCTTCGTCGAGATTATCTGTATGACCAGCATCACAGGTATCCAATTTATGATCATAGTTGGAAAAGGAAGTGGTCTCTTCAATATCAACTTCGTGGGGATCAGAGAAAAAATCATCATCTCCCGTTTTTGTGGTGTGTTTTCTGTTGGCAGCAGAAGTATCAATCGAGTGAGTATCTGTGGACACTATCAACTGCGGATGAATTACACCAACGGCTACCGCCTTACTAGAGGTGGCCACCGGGGGTTCATCAAATGCTACCGTGGTATCCAAAATTGTTAGGCAGCCATTACTGGCTCCTAAACCAGAATCAAAAGGGACTGGGACAGTAAGTTCAACAGGGTCAGTTTCAATACCAATACCATATGTAGGACCAGCTTCCTCATTACTGGTTGTAAAACCAGATTCAACGTAAGGGACAGAATCAGAATCAGCACACTCTATAGGGTCTTCAGAGGTTGCTGCAAAACCAGGTTGTAAAGGGGCACAATGAGTGCCTAAGGCATCATTTCGAAGTGCATGAGCACACTCTATAGGGTCTCCAGTTCCTGAACTCTACCCTTCACAAATTTAAAATAATCTGGGTATTGGTCTAGTGCACTAGCATACCTTCGAGCTTCATAGGTAAGGTTATCCGATTTGTGCTCTTCGGACTCTTTCAGATTATCTGGTGAATCAACGTTTTCTGCCCCGTCAGAATATCATCGTTCATCTCCAATTCTTGAACTGAAGGTGCAGACGGCTTCAACTCAATGTTCGTTTCCCGCTGTGGAACCCCTGAAGATCCTTTTCCAGTTGCGCCTAGAGTTATGGCTCCTCTAGGTATGTTGAATTTTGCGCACTGGGAGACGCTTCTTGCGCTGAAAATCTGCGAATCAGAAAAAAATCCTCGCGATGACGATCGATGATGATCGGATAGCGAACTGAGAAACGCGGTTCGCAAATGCGATCTTGGAGAAACAGTTTGCGACCAAACTTGTGAACTCCTAGAATCAGGTGGCGACTGGGAACTGATATTTTATATTACTTGCGACACAGTTTGAGAACTGGGAGAAAAGACTTGCGATGAAGATGGGTGAGGATAAACAGTTCACGACGAAGCCAGAGAACTGGAAGGAGTTGCTTGCGACCGAGAAGAATCCTGCGCACTTAGCGACGAATTGGGAGATGTGGTTGACGATTGCGAACTGGGAGAAGCATTTCGCCACTGCGAACTGGAAACTTCACCTCTCGATCGCGTCGTACTTGAACTGGTAGCCAATAATTAAGCCTGCGGACTGAGAGATGTTGTTGGCGACCATGAAGGGCACTATTTTTCAGATGGCCGACGACGTCTAGGAGGGCTCCTCGCTCAGTCTCTCAGTTTCCTGCGATGAAGTTTACGGATCTCGTTTATTCAACTCCACATCTTCGCCGCCCAATCATCGAAGGTCGGTTGATTTTGTTTGACCTTTTCCAGGTTATTCTCCATGTGCGAACGTGTTTTGCTGATCAAAGTGCTCTGATACCAATGATAAAACACTAACAATTTCCAGATTTCTATGTAACAAGATAATCAAGACCCCTAGCTTTCATTCAACTAACGAAAAGAATTCCAAAAGAGACAGTTTCTTGGCAAGTTTGAGAGTGCCAGAGCTCTCCAAAGTTCTATTTTCTAATTCAATAACAGCTTACCACTTATTACTCACCCCTCTTATTCATACTACTCTAGTACTCTTCTTATTTATTACTACGTATTATTCTACAAGGGTCCCTATCAGTTTCAATGTGCAACTCTTATTACCTAGGTTAAAAGATACACAAATTTTATGGCTTAAAGTATCAAACACGAATAAGGAGTAACACATAATATGTAGAAGCAGCTGAAACACTTTACCCTTATGTATCCCTTCTCAATTAGACACTGAGCTACCCCAAGATGATATGGAAACAAGAGACCAGCAGCGGAAAAGCTAAATCCAGGACTAGTAACCGGCTTCCACTGCTGCTCAGCTTCAACGTCCTTGACAGTCTGCTCCCACAATACCTCCGGATGGACGGGATCCTCAACCACCTTCGCAATTTCCTCCTTCCTCCTCTTCCACAGATAACTCTCCTTCTCCTGATCATCCTTAAACATCGACATTCCATGTCCCTCTATTCCAGCACTGCCTCCGACTCGAGGCTTCAGTATACGCGACGCTATTCCGATGAAAAGTTCGCCTGTAGCTACGGCAAAAGATTTTTTCTCCTCCGTCTCTGAAGGGGGTGGAGTTGGTTGTTGACCGGAGTTGGCTTTGGCGGAAAAATTGAGATCGGTGGATGAACGCAGAGTGAAAGGGAGGCGAACGTCGTGAATAGGGTTGGGTTGATGACGGAGGGGGCGAGGGCCGGAGAAGGCGAGAGAAGAGAGGGAAGCCATTGATTCTCCAGCAGTTGGTTAGGGGGGGATTTTAAGGAATATCCCACTGTGGAGTCACCTTTAGAAATGAATGATCCTAAAGAAAACACATAGGCATGCATATATATCAGTCCATAGTAGAGTCGTTAAAAATTTTGTTAGGCCCCCTTCTTCTATCTCCGATGAGGAGTTTAGCCATGACCCGTACGAACGAGTACAGCCGCCGCTTGAATGCAGAAAGAAGAAGACAAAATTGAATTGATTTTTAACGCCGAAATCCACAAACGAACTCCATTGATGAAATTCAAGGTCTGTGACCTCTCAACCGCCTAAAATCCGAGGTCTGAATGGGAGAGGGTGAACCCTCTGCCGTTGCCTCTCTTTTCTGCCGTTACCTGGAACCGCCCGACTTTACCGGGTTCTCTTTTTTTAAAATGGTAATAACTTTTTTATTTTTTATCTGATTTTTATAAAATTTATATCAACATTTTTTATTTTTCATGATCTTTCAAATGAGACCAATATTGGCTATGTAATTTTAACATATTAACATTTGCGAGTAAAATATGTAACTTTACGTGTTAAAATATGTAACTCACGTTCAGTCAGGCCAAATGCAACTCGTGTGTATAAATATTTATCTCTACCATGTAACAATATGTAACTTTACGTAAAAAAATATGTAACTCGCGTTCAGACGGGTCAAATGCAACTCGTGTGTATAAATATGTAACTTTACGTCTAAAAATATGTAACTTTACGTGTAAATATATGTAAGTCGCGTTCAGGCATGTCAAATGCAACTCGTGTGTATATATATGTAACTCGCTTATAAAAAGATGTAATTTGCTTATAAAAAGATGTAACTCGCTTATAAAAAGATGTAACTTGCTTATAAAAAGATGTAACTCACTCATAAAAAGATGTAACTCAATATATTATCAAATGTAACTGAGGCCACTGATCCACTCTCAAACAGATTCGATCTTGTATTTCACAAACCTATCATCTCCCAAACAGATTCGATTTTCCTTATAATCCAATACTCATTAATATAATAGTTTGATAATTTCTTAAAATTACATAAGCAATATTGCTCTCATTTGAAAGATCGTGAAAAATAAAAAAAAAATTGATATAAATTTTATAAAAATCGGATCAAAAATAAAAAAGTTATTATCATTTTTTAACAACAAAAGCAAAAAAAAAACATGTTGCGTCGTTTTGCAACCGGGCGCACCATCCTCATGGTGCGCCGGTTGCACGGTATAATTTACCCATACGGACGGGTTCGCCTCGCAATTTATACCCTGACACCGGCGCACCATGAGGATGGTGCGCCCGGTTGCAAAACGGCGCACCTTCGGTGGGATTTCATTATTTTTTATTTCTTTTATTGTTAAAAATTGTAATAACTTTTTTATTTGATATACGATTTTTATAAATTTTATATCAAAATTTTTTATTTTTCATGATCTATCAAATGAGACCAATATTGCTTATGTAATTTTAACAAATTATTTTGAAGTTACATTTGATAATATATCATAAAGTCACATCTTCTTCTGCGCGAGTTACATCTTATTGTACACGAGTTACATCTTAATATACGCGAGTTACATCTTAATGTATGTGAGTTACACCACGAAATAAACCCATGTTACATCTTTCATTTTTATCATTTGAAAAATAGTGTATGAATATGAAATACAATATACTTATTTTATGTGGATTAATAAAATTTTGTATTAAATTGGCAAAGAAAAAAAATTAATTCAGTTATAATTGAATTAGTTCAAGATAAAGATAAGTAAAAAATCACACATAACAAGATGTAACTCACACATAATTACATGTAACTCGCACATAAAAGTACGTAACTCATTTATAACAAGATGTAACTCACACATAACAAGATGTAACTCACACATAATAACTTGTAACCGGGGTATAAGATGATGTAATTTTTTATCTCCTTTTCTTAAAATTGTTAATAATTTTTTTATTTTTGATCCGATTTTTATAAATATTATATCAATTTTTTTTATTTTTCATTATCTTTCAAATGAGACCAATATTGCCTATGTAATTTTAACATATTAACATTTGCGTGTAAAAATATGTAATTTAATTTTTGTCTCAATATTTTATGTGATGTAAATCCTATGTATTGAAATGTAACTCGTGTTGTTATAAAATGTAATCTCAGTTAACTACAAATGTAACTCACTGTCTGGAATGTAACTCATATTACACTCTCTAGTGGTTATCTCACCTTTTATACGAAATGTAAACCGCGTGTTACAAGATGTAACTTTTATCAAATTGATATGTAACTCGAGTGTATCCAAAATGTAACTTGAGAATTTTCGAAATTGTAAGGTGCGTTTATTAAAAAGTTAATTCAGGAAAATCGAAAATGTAAATCATGTTAATCAAAATGTAACTTGATGTTGATACAAATGTAACTCGCGTGTAGAAATATGTAACTTACGTGTAAAAATATGTAACTTCACATATAAAAATATGTAACTCACATGTAACTCAATGATTTTTTATATACACAATTTTAAAATAATTGTGATTTACACAATTATTTTTTTGTATTAAATTTAGTTCGGTTTTCCTTATAATCCAATAATCATTTATATAATAGTTCCATAATTTGTTAAAATTACATAAGCACTATTGGTCTCATTTGAAAGATTGTGACAAATAAAAAATGTTGATATAAATTTTATAAAAATTGGATCAAAAATAAAAAAGTTATTACCATTTTTTAACAACAAAAGCAAAAAAAATGAAACCAGACCATGCTCCGTCATTTTGCATCAATGCGTCTTCTCTCTTTCAGACGATCAATTAATAGAGTGAACGACGACGTTTTGGGATCGGGCACACCATCCTCATGGTGCGCCGATCCCAGGATATAATTTGCCGTCTGTTCTGGTTTATTTGTATTTTTACAACTATCAAAGTCTGGTCTGGTCTGATCAGGTCTGCTCTATGAAGAATTACAGTCCAAGTAAAAACATCCTCAATATGAATTTGATATCGATACTCTCCGATATGCATCACGTGCGTATTGGATCTATACCCGTAATTTAATAAAAGTATTGAATTTATTTTTAAAAATATAAATATTTTTCATACATGTGTTCTTAAACCGATAAGTCTGCCTAACCCTATAACCCTAATTTCATACACAATATGAAGAAAATTTAGTAGCCACCTAAGCGATCACAAGATATGAAACATTGGTAAAGATGATTTCGAGGGTATAGAAAATATTGAAATATTATAATTTGTCAAATTATCGCTTTATGAACTTTAGTTGAAATAAGTCTTGTTAAAAGACTTAAATGTAAATATAGAGAACCAAAAATATTATTTTAATTCAAATCAAAATATCAGTACTTTAGTTTGCTTGGTCTGATCTTTGAAATTTTATTATAATTGTTAATTTTTTGTACTATTATTTTATTTATGAACCTATATATATTTGTGAATTATATCCTATATTATTATTATTATTTATAAATATATCCCGTACTCGTATCCTGTAATTTTTGAATTTTCCGTATCGTTGAATCCGAATTCGCGTATCGGCATATCGGCGTATCCATCCGTGCAACATAGGTCTCACATCGTGGGACGGGGTATGTATTTCAACTTCCGAGAAGTCATTATTTTATAACTAGATGTTTGCTTTTGAATTTTTTTTTCAAAATAATGCTAAATAAAAAATTATTTGCGAAATTAGGGTTGAGTTAAAACTATTTACCAAAATAATGCTGAATTAAACCAGTGTTGACAAAATCGCCAAACCAATTGGCGACTTTCGAAACACCAAATGATTTGGCTACTTCTTATCAATGTTACAGCCGCAAGCTAGCTTAAGAAATATTGTTAGTGGGGCCAAAGTATTTAAAACCCCATTTTTCTTTAAAAATAAATGGGGTTTTTAATACTTGGGGCCCACTAACATATGTATCTTAAAAGTAGGAACATTTTGTTGGGGGCTATATTATTAAGAAGAAGAAGGTGTTTGAAAGTGATTCTGCTTCTGCTTCTTTTTTAAAGTAAAAGAAGAATTAGAATCAGTTTTCAGAAGTTGATCTCCCCCTACTTCTAAATAAACTGATTCTAGGAATAAATTAGAGCACTAGAAATGGTACTGCATTTTCACTCAAACACTCCAACTTTTTCTTCCGCTCCTTGAAGGAGCAAAAGCACTTTTAAGAATCAAATCCAACCACCCCCGAAGTCGCCAAATTGTTTGGCGTTTTGAAAGTCACCAATTGATTTGGCGATTTTACCGACCCTGGTTTAATTCAACAGTATTTTGATAAATAGTTTTAATCTGACCCTAATTTCGCAAATAGTTTTTATTTAGCATTATTTTGGGGGGGAAACTCTTGCTTTCAAACAATTATGTAAAAAGGGAAAAATAATACTGCATATGTCCCACAAAATTCTTTTCACTTACTATGTTGGGATATTTCAATTTTTTTACTCGTTTCTCTTTTTGGAAAGTTTTGTGTGACTATCATTCATTTACTCTTTTTTTACTCAACCATAACCATATATTTCCACTTTATTCTCAGTTTCTAAATAAATGTGTAAAGTCGATTTGAAAAGTATTTTTTTGGGACGGAGGGAATATAAATATCTCAAACTTTGATGGGGTGTGAGATAAACACTCCAAAATTATATATGTAATATACATACTCCGAACTTTATCTAAAAAGTCATTTCCACACCATGATTGTGTGTTTTTTACAAATATAAATTTATTGAAATGTTTAAATGATTTAAAATACCATAAGCTTTGTTAGAATGCAATTAACATTCTACAATTTCATTTGTGAAATAAATAATATTGCATCGAGTACAATTTATTTTTAATGGCATCTTGATAAATGGGTTCGGTATTTTATATTATGCACTTAACCCCAGAGAATTACATTTGTAAAAAACATATGATTATAGTGTCAAAATTTAAGAAAATGTATGTAGAGTTGAATGGTTTAATCTATTTATAAATGAGTATAAGAGATACTAGTTATAAATAAAAACATTGACAACTAATAGTTTTTCTTGCTCAAAAATAAATATTACTACGTACTATCCTCTGTTCTTTTTTAGTTGCAACATTCCTTTTTTCACGTTTACCAATGCACAACTTTGATCATCATTATATTTAATTCCCTATTAGTAAAAAAATTAAAAATTATATTATGAAACTTTGTAATGAGACGAATTCAACAATATTTTTCAAAAAAATAATTCACATACATTAATAAATAAAATGTAGTAAATGTAATGTACATGAATAGTGTGTAAATTTCAATGTTGCAACTAATATGATACAGAGGGAGTAATA